GTTTCAGAGCAGATTAGACTCATCTAGATGAGCTAGCGGTTCCCTTTATTCCAAGTAGGAGGCCTAAGTTAAAAAGGAAATTAATATGTTCATTAACTTCCCTCCCATTTATGTTTGCTATCTTTTCTCTTATGCATAGTATATATTACAATGAATTAAAAAATAATAACAGCAAATCACGGCCTGGCAGGGATTTTTAATGGATTTAATTTTTCTCTATCATGCTTACATGTAATCTCTAGCATTCAGTGTTTTATGAGCTTGTTATCACTCTCGCAGTGCTTGCAGAATATGCCTGGAGCACTTGCAGAATAACTGCAGGAAGAACAAGCTTCCCCAAGACCAACAGGTGCTGGTTACTGTTCCCGAGCCAAGCAGCACATGTCCTGTGTCTGGATGGCTGATTTAGCGTGATTCCCATTATGGGTTTTTTGGTCTTTTCCACAGCCACGTTGAGGGAAGGGAGCATTTACTGGAACGACCTGCATCACATAGTCGGTAGGTGGCCTGGAAACATGCTCAGGCTCAGCCCTTGAACTGCCCTTGTTGCAGCGAAGCTGACAGATGTCGCACGCTTTTTGTCAAAATGAAAGGTGATTACCTTTCATCACGTTGTGACATATTACATACGAAATTATGACATTATTACATATGAAACTGGAGAGCCTGAACACTGCCTGTGTGTGTATGAGTGATGCATGTGTCGGCTGCACAGGGGATCCAAACAGGCTGGGGTTCATCACTCTACCCACACAGGTCCTGCCTCTGCCCGGGGGGATATTTAGGGTTTGCTGCTCAGCTTCTTTCTATAAAGCATGAATCCACTGTAATGCTACAAAATAGTGAGAACCATTGGTCCATGCAGTGTAGGAAGCACTGTCGCTATGGTAACCAGCCCTGTATCTTTTTTTTATGTGTTTCTGTAATAAAAAACAATATATGTGTATCTATATATATGTGCATTACTTCTATTAGATTATGGTACCTTTGAAAAGCATTGCTCAGCTTATCACCATAGAATCAACAGTTTAATTTCCAGACTGGGTCAGTACCAAAAAGATGATCGTTATTATTCTACATGCTTTTGTTGTGGCCTTCGTGAATTTAGTGATGGTCCCAGCTCAATAGATAGTGACAGGTGTCTACATTATTAGTGTCTACTACAATTAGGACTAATTGGTACCTCTATTGGCAGCAGAGATTGGCCAGGGATTTAATGGAGATGAGAGACCAATATACTCTCTCTGTGTTCCTCCCTTCCTTCTCCCCCCAAAAAGAACAACACATCTGAAGGAAGTGCTGGTGGTCAATGCAGAGAAGGCTAAAAGTTTCAATATTTATTACTTAGTTTGTAAGCCCCAAGTTGTGGCTTAATGGATGCGTTCAGTCTCTGAGATTTCCAATTTGGCATTTTTCAGGTGAAATTTTCATTACTAGCCTAATTTTTTCCAGGTGCACTTCTGCAGCTGCGATGTATTGTGCCATAATTTAGCACCTGCAGTTCTTTCTAATAGCAAGAATTTTCAACCAGGAAAACAAAGACTGGGTCCAGCCTTGATTCAAATAAATAAAATTTAAAAACCACCCCATTGGGAAAGGGGCAGCAACAAGCTATTTTTAAAGAAAGTTGAATCAAGCAAAAGTGTAAGTGATACAATTCTGTTCACTGATGAGTGGTAACAAAAAAGAGGAAGTAATCTATGTGATTGCATTTTAAAGGCTTTTCTACAAAACTGTTCTTTTACTTAAATGTTACTTCCCTTTGTAGAGAAATCTTCCCCATTTGTTAATTTGTTTCTTTTCTTCTTATGCCTGACAAACAGCTCCAACCGTGTTAAATTGTTCACTTGTGATAGGGGAAAGGGTTTTATTTATGCCTGTGAAGTTAGCTGAAAGTCTTAGAAACATGAAATTTACGGCAAGTTCAAAACAGGTGAATTACACTCCACGTAAGTGTTGGCAGCTCTTTATCTTTTCCTTGTTTTCCATATTTAATTCCATCCTTGAAAGATGGAATATGCATCATTTCCCTATCGCCTCTCTCTGGTTCACATTGAGTGAAGTGTTTTGAATTAATTATGTTAAATTATTAATAGCTCAAGATTTGAAAACACTACAGGATTTGAGTAATGTTTTATCAGGCAGGAGCTGTATGATAATTCTGGCTTTTTCATACAGTAGAGTACACTTCCAGTTGATAGGTAAAATTACAACTATATGCTGGAAGCACTGAATTCAGTTCATTGTGAAGCATAATAAGGTAATGAATGTTTAGGCTGCATATTAAGAAAAAAAATCTCCCATTAATGAATAGACTTCAGGAGAAACAATGAAGGCAGCATTTCTTGGGTCACATAAAATGAACTGGGCAGAAATATAGAATACAAAACAACTCTGTGATGGTAAGGACACGAATGACATGAGAGATCCTTTCTGAATCTAACTCCTGTGATTGTTTGATACAAAATATTTTCTGATATGGCTCCTCTATCTGTCAGTTATTAACTAATGGCTAACTGATAGGCCACTGGACAGGGGAAAGGAAAAATGTTTTAGCACGAGGCTCTCAAAACAAGGCATTTAGCTGCTAGAATTATTCTAACATAAAGGGCCAAATATAAAGTTTATCTTCTGTTAAATCTCCCTGACATTTTAACCAGGCTATAAAATAAACAGCCATCTAAATCAAGCCATATTAATTTCAAGGATTATTTTGACTCTGCTTTATTGCGCTGCAGCCATACAATGGTGTTTAAGGGAGAGATGAGACAGCTGACAAAAGACCTGAGAATTAGTTCTATAATTATTTGCGCAGAGAAAATGGCTTCTCTCTGCATTCAGCCCACAGTGTAGTTCTTGATACATTTCATCAGCCTCGCGTAATAAACCCTGCAGAGGAATTAAAGAGCCAGGAAATATAGGTTAGACTCACAAGATAGACACTAGCACTTAGTGCTCATTGAAGCCCACTCGGTGCTCACAACCTGCCTTCCTTGCTCCGCCACCAGCTCCCCAAACCTCCCCTGGTAGCAACAAGGGAGACCAGGGCGCAAAGCTCTCCTTTGCTTCAGCATGGATTTATACCATTTCCCAGGAGATGTGCCCTACCCAAGGCATTTTTCTAGGGTCACCTTTGCACGGTTTCCACTACTTGTACCAAGGAATGAGCTATTACGCAGGCTAACGAGGAATGAGAGCAGCCTGGCGACAGAGTGCCTAACTCTCCTCAAAAAGTGGGACTTAGCTTTGTGCAGATACTTACAGTCTCCTTCTGGTTAAAGTCCCTGGACATCGGCTTTGCCAGGTGGTGCTTCTGAACCTGTTCTTCAGTGACCAGCTCTCCCCAGGGACTACGTGGAGAAACCTCCAGCAGCAGCCTGGGGCTGTGCTTTCCTTTGGAGGGCAGAGTGCCTAAAAGCTGCATGCTGCACAGCTGAGATCTTCCTTGTGAATCTAGAGCCATCTGAGTAAGAAATCTTAGTGTGAGAGACAAACTATGTATACAGCTGTCCTTATATATGTAACCATAAAGGGTTGCATTTCCAAAGGTAGTTAGACATCTGTTGAGTCATGTAACTGCTAGAGTGATTTTCAAATGTACCTTAGTAGGTTTGACAGCCAGTTCTTATTTCAATGAGTTATTTAGACAGCCAGCAGGATTTTCAAAGCATTTATCTACATCTCTTGTATTGCGTATCTGCTGAAAACCCAGCCCACGGCCTTTTGCAGGAGAAGCATCACACTGCTCATATGCACCCATAACATTAAAATATGCATACACTGACTGTTTGCCAGAAATGTCCACGGAGACAGTTAAGAGTATATTCTTAAAGCCTTGTCATCTGAATTCAGCGCTCTCAAGGCCTCCTGAAGGACTGAGCTTGACTAAGGTGGTCTCCAGCTTCTCCAAAAGAAGCCAGTGCTTTACTGCTCCTCCAGCCAGCAGGTTCTCAAGTTATTTCACCAGTTTCACACTTGGTAGCCACTCTCTCAACGCTGCCTCCTGTCCTTGCACGCTGTCTCCTGTCCTGACCCTCTTGGCTAAGCAGGGTGGGCTCTTAGGGACATTAGACACTTCCGAAGGACCTGAACCAACAAACCTAGTCGTAGTAGAAGTGGAGCAAACGTCTTGTTTTTGGCTCCCCTAACTTCTCTAGTACCTGGACTTGAGCATGGTGTCCTTTGGCTGCCAGCCTTACTAGACACTTTTGAAAAAAACCTAGAGTTCTTACAGGGCCTGTAATTAAAATTTGTTTTCATACTATACACTGAAACGGAGGGTGTAATATCCCAGGTCTCTTCCATTTATGCTGTTATTTCACAGTGTCACAAGTGTTCTCGGTGTAATCAGGGTACAAACTGGCAGAACTGAAGCAATCTGCTCTGTAGTTGCCTTTAGTTCAAGTTCTCATTGTCTTGTAATTAGCTGGAGTGAATGCAGCTCCCCAGCAGCACGCTGCGCACCGTGACATGCTTTGGAACGAGGCACAGGGCTGGAAATAAAAGCGCTTCACTCAGGGTGCCAAAGTGCCTACCGTAGGTGCAATACTGAAATTCGCTTATTATAATCCCTCTTGCCTAATTAATTCCATTGGTAGCCATTTACGTTCATCAGTGCTTTGCTGACAGTCTCTAACAAAGATTTTTCTTCTCTCTCTCTTTTTTTTTTTGTTTAAACTGGAATAGTTTTATTAGCTTGTTTACTTCAGAACAACGTGCCATCTTTGATTAAACTCCATGTGGATTTATAACTATGTCCTCCCCATGTTTCTGTGACCTTTACGGCACATCTGATAAAAATAAAAGGTCATGGATTCCAAAAGAACTGGTTCTAATAATGTCAGACAGGCTCCCCTGAAAGTGTATGATTTCCCTTCCTTCTTTTTCTCTTCTTTTCTTCTCTCTCCCTCTCTCTTTTTTTCCCCCCTCTCTTTATTTTTCTGCTGTTTCAAAGCAAGATGAAAATTAACATGAATAAAATTAATGGTTTAATTTTGCAGGAGAAAGAAGAGGGTTTACAGTGCTCCACTGGGGAAAAGGGCTTTTGTCTTTGTTGATGACCTAAACATGCCTGCCAAGGAGAAATATGGTGCCCAGCCTCCCATTGAACTGCTGCAGCAATGGATTGACCATGGCTACTGGTTTGACAGGTGCAATAAATATTAATTAGTGTGCTTGGCTACAGAGGAGTAATGATATACACTGTTTCTCTGAAGCGTTAAATTGTAGTGTTAGTCTTTTATAATTCCTCATCTTCTCAGTCACAACAGGAAAACACTCTGAGTTACATGACTCCCTGTATAGGAAAAGGAATAAAGGCTTATATGTTGCAGTGAACTACAGCATGAGAAAGGCAAGCTTATACGGGAGAGAAGCACAACACGCATTTTCATGTTTTTGAGAAAACACCATCAGTATTTAAGTTGGCACAAAACAGTTTCAAATAAATTTTTAGCTCTTGGTTGTTAAGGACTAAAACAAAATCATTTGTCTTTCAGTGAATGACTTTAAGGTTAAAATGCAGTTGAAGATGCTTTTCTAACATGCAGCTGGGGTCTAGAGGGAGTGTGTGTAATAGATTCAGGCATTTTTTGCATGATTCAGGATAATACTGGTTGTTAGAAAGACTTCAAATTCTCCCTTGCTTATGTTTCATCTGTCTGGATTTAAAAGAAGTTTATGTTGTTTTAGAACAACCCTAGTTAATCTATGGCTTTAAAAAAATTGAGATCTGAACAGAAAGAGTAAAACAGAACCTTGCCATGGAGGCACCATTAAAGAGTTTGACTACCAGACAAATGTAACCGTACTTCATGATAAATGTAGTTATATACACCCAAGGTATAAAGCAGTTGTACCAAAAGAAAGGGCCATTAATTAAGAACTGGTACTCTCTGTATTTTTTTATTATTATGGTTCAAAATGATGTTTAAAACAGTCATTACATATATTGTTGTACTGAAGATCTTGTTTTCTAGTATTAAGTATTTAAAATTGTATTATAACTTTACATGGCGGTATCAGCCTATGTTCCCTCTCAAAAGAGAGGCATGAAAGCTGGCAGGTAGTGTCTGCATTTCAGTTGGAACTCCTACCTTTCTCTTTACCCTTAACTAAATAAAATAAAGACTTCAGCTTTTTCTGTAGTACAATACGAAAGAATAAGGGAATAAAAAAGGAGAAACGTGATTCTTTTCAAGTCTGATGTTTTCTCGAAACTATAGACTATTTCTTAATATTTTCAACGTGAAATTGTACTAGAAGCTTAAAGCATTAGATAGAATCATTTTATACTGAGCTTGGGAAACAGTCACTGAATTGCATCTCATTCTTCTGCTCCAAAATCCCTCATTTTCTAATGAATGCAGCAGAAATTCCTTCCTTTTAGGAACAATGAGGCTTTTCATTGTCGGAAGTGTTCTTTCTACCCTCTCTGTAAACCATGAGATGAAGTTTGAGAAGATGCATGTGGGGACAATGAGAAAACAAACTCACGCCATTTTAAATATAAAGGTTTCACTCCTTTATATAGTTAGAATTACTTGTGCTTGTGGGTGCAGCTTGTCACTCTTGTCAGCCTGTCTGGATAAGAAATACACACAGAAAGAACAATTCAGGGAAGACGGTCTTCTCTGGGTAAACAACAAAGCATTAGTTACCTGGAAGGCAAGAAGACTGGCATGTTTTTTTCCCCAATGACAGTCTATAACAAGCAAATATTTGCTGATAATGTCTGACAATATAGCCACAGGAAGAAGCAGCTGAGGTAATTTTAGGTAGTATCCTTTACTGTCAGAGGGATCCATGGCTTTCTAAGGTGATTAAACTGTTGGCAGCAAAGCCATTGAGGATGGTAAATAGGAAAGATTTGCTAGTAAAAGACCCACTGCTGCCTCAGAGCCTGGTTTCTGTCACGCTAGCGGCATGGTTACTGCAGACGCTGTTAAAGGTTCCTGATTTCATGCAGATGAGAAGTCCCAAGGAAATCAAGCCCCTGTGTCTGCGTTGTTCATCATCCCTGACGCCAGATAACTTGTCAGCCAGTTTTGGCAGAGCTGTAGCAGTCTCAGAGAGATAAAATCATCCTAAACACGAGGTGTGACCCCAGTGAGGGAATGACAGGAATGGTGCAAGAACAGGCCCAACACGTGTAGTGCACGGTCAGGGCATGAGGGTGGGAGGACTGTGGGCGACCTGCTAGGGAAACGGAAGCTGTAGTGCTAAGTGCAGGAGGGAAGAAGTCCCCCTGCCCTCTGAAGAAGTCATTTTTATTTTAAATAATCAAGAGAACTTTGCAACCAGATCTTTGCCTGGGCAAGCTACTTTGTGGCATATTTTCATTTCTCTTCTGGTCTGATCCGGCTATAAATCTCAGTGTCTACTGCAGTCCTCTAAAGACTCCCAAACGGCTGAAGTCCAGCATACCTAGCTCTGCTCCCAGGCTGCCTTGAACACTCCAAAATGCATGCATCAGAGGGAAAAGCAGACAGTATAAACTCATTTGCCCCAGAACTACCCCACAGGAAGACTCCTTGAAGAATGCCCAGCTGGATATTAGGAGCTCCATGACCTTTGTGCTACCTGAGCAGAGCAAAGGAGCAGGAGCCAGGAGCTAATATTATCTGGCCTTTGGAAGAGCTCTATCTGGCAGAAAACCAGAGCCAAGGGTCCTTTGGTGATGTTCTCTTGACAAAGCGTGTGGTTTCATACGCCTTCACAGCATGAGGAATCGTGCACCCTTTAAAGGGGATCATGAACTGATAGAACAAATCAACAAACAAGACTCACTTTCTTACAACTAAAGCTCTTATGACTTTTAATTTCCTTCCTAGTGATTTGTTTAAAACCTGTTGCGAGCCCACAAGGTATACTTATGTTTGCTCATCTAGGTTTATTTGTTTGTGTCTGTGTGTATTGCATTTAGAAAGTCTACTGGGGGTATGCCCTGAATATGCTAATGAAATGCTTCGACAAATATGTCGAAGTTCTGCACAAACTAGGTGTGGGAGGGGGAGTTACGAGTGCACTAAAGAGGGAGCGAAGATCTAAGATTAGTTTTGGACTAGGAAGCTTCACTGGCTGGAGCCACATGTATTGCCAGCATAAGGCAGGTGTACTCCACAGGAGAAGCAGAGTAAATCTGATTCAGAGCAGTATCATCATCATTTTGTACCCACAGCACGTTCATCCCCATGTTCATTTGAGCATCTGTTACATACTTAGGTCTTTGTATTCTAGCAAGCCTTAAGTTATGTAAGCAGTTGCACATCTACACCTAATACACCATATGTTACAAAATGGCTCTGAGGTGGGAAAATCAGGATGGGCTCAACATGGTGCAGCTTAACTGTGTCAGGAACGGAGAAATGGAAGGGAGGCGTAGCAATATAGAGGAACAAATCCTGCCTTAAGATATGCACTGTGTGGTGGGTAACTTTTCCCATGATGACACAGCTTTGTTATTTGCTGATGATAGAAAAAAACTGTTTTAAGAAACAGCATGTGCATGCTTCTCTTCTTCTCTCTCTTCCTCTCCCTCCCCCCACATAGAAATTGATTGCTTCACTTACTGATACTGTCACTGAAGAAAGGCCATATTAAAAAGGTTAATTTTAAACACAGTATAGCTTAGTCTGATATCTTTCAGGAGTGAGTTCTGCAGCCTGTGCTTGGCCAGATACTCTTGCGCCCTCCACTCATATTGCTTTAAAACCATTTCCTTCAGTCCTGTGGCTCCAGAGAACCACAAGAAACGTGGTGGATGTGTTTCTCAGGTGGATCAGTCCCAGTTTTGAAAGGGTTTTTGTTAAGCAGGACTTGACCTTTCGGCTTGGCCTGAAGGAATTTGTAGTCGGGAAAGTTTATAAAGACAGATGAGAAGTATTCACTTGGCCTTGTGCAGATTACATGGCTTGGTTGGCTTACATTGCATTGAGTATCTGCCCCAGCACCTTGAGACAGGTGAGTCCAGCTCGAGGCAGTGAGAATTCTGTGTTGTCCCTCAGGGCAGGCAGATGGACAGATCGCAGTTCTTGCTGGAGACAAACAAGCGAAAGTATATCGACCAGACAAAGAAGGCTTTCCTCACCACTCTGCTTCCTCCCAGGTACCCCATAAGAGTCAGAAGATATTGCACATTTGACAAAAGTCAGGATTCTGTGAAATTTTCTGTTGTATTTTCTGTTTCTGTAAGTCTCACACATTTCCTGGGTTAATCAAGAACCTGCTGCTTAGTCTGTTCAGTGCTTGCTTCTAAACACTTTGGGGAGAAAGACACAGGCGCGTATATCTATATATGTGTCTGCATATGTATGTATATTTGTGTGTGCATGTATATATCAATGTAGTTAGCCTAATATCCTATAGGTAGCAAATAAGTCTGTAGATGTTTATGCCAATTCATGTAGATCTGAACACAGAAGGGAAGCAGTTCATCCTGTGGGGCTTTTCAACATAACAGTTGTGTGCACTCTCAGATTAGCACCTTTTCTTTCATTTACCACCCTAGGAAAAGTCACTGCCTCCTCCATGCCCGTCGCTCAAGAATCTGCAACTTTGGCTGATTGAACTTTGAAGAACATGGCACAGAGCGTAACTCAGATGTTGCTGCAGGCTGTGTTTTTGCAAGAAAGAGAAAAATCCAAAGGCACCAACCATGCTGAATGAGGACGACAGAAGAGGCCTGGAGCCTTACAGCTTGAATAGACCTGTGTGACCATACTCTGAAAAGTCATACAAGTGCCACTCCATGCTGCTGTTGGGGCTGCAGCTGAGGGCTGGCTGCCTGGGCTGGCAATCCCCGCAGAAGCTCACCTGAAGTAGCTTGAAGCTCCTTGAAGGGCAGTCATGGCAACACAGGACTCTGTGTGGGCTGCAAAGCCTGCCTGAATATCTGAGCAAATGCTCAGCTGTCTGTGCCAGTCGCTGAGCTGTCCCAGTTACATAGTTAGTATTACCTAAGCTAACTCATTCACCAGGGGCCCAAGCATGTCTCCAGAGACTGCAGTTGCAGCAGTGTGTCTACAGAGCGGAAAAATCCTAAGGGTGTTTACATCTGGGACTTGGGGTTTCAACTCTGCTAATGAACAAAAATAGGTCACAAAACTTAGGCGGAGATTGGCTGACTGCTCTGCAACTTTTCACCTCCCACATCCTGTTTCTATACCTGTTGCTTCCCTGTTCCTACT